GCTTTTGGTACAGTCTCCCACAGCATTTCTCAGGCAAGCTGAGGAAGTATGGGCTGGATGAATGGGCTGTAATGTGGATAGAAAACTGGCTGAAGCATCAGGCTCAGAGAATAATAATCAATAGCTCAATGTCTAATTGGCAGCCGGTATCAAGTGGAGTGCCCCAGGGGTCAATCCTGGGGCCGCTTTTTTCAATACCTTCATCAATGACCTAGAAGATGACCTAGAGTGCACCCTCAGCAAGTTTGCAGATGACACCAAGCTGGTGGGAGTAGTAGATATGCTGGAGGGTAGGGCTAGGATTCAGAGAAGCCTTGACAAATTGGAGGATTGAACCAAAAGGAATCTCATGAGGTTCTACAAGGACAAGTGCAAAGTCCTGCACTGAGGAGAGAACAGTCCCATGCACCATACAGGCTGGTGGCTGACTGGCTGGGCAGTAGCTCTTTAGAAAATGGCCTGGGAGTAACAGTGTGCCCTTGTTGCAAAGAAGGCTGATAGCATCCTGGTCTGCATTGGTAGGAGCATTGCAAGAAGGTCAAGGGAAGTGATTCTTCCCCTTTATTCAGCACTGGTGAGGCCACATCTGGAGTACTGTCTTCAGTTTTGGGGCCCCCAGTACAAAAAGGATGCGGTAAAATTGGAAAGAGTCTAGCACAGGGTGACAAAAATGATGAGGGAAGTGGGAGGCATGATTTATGAATAAAGACCGGGCTTATTTATGTTAGACCCTGACTCCATGCAGCGCCTAACAACTGGGAAGACGACGGTCCAATTGCCCATGGATCCTGGTACCCATTAGCCAGAGCAGACAGGGAGCAAACACCAGCACACATTGCTCACAACAGCTTTATTCAGAATGGAGACAGCTTCGGACAAAGGTCCCAAAAACCAACAAACCAGGCAACTGCCTTGAACAATGGTTCTTTTCACATTTTATACACCTTGCTTCATACTCATTAACATTCTCCTGCCTTCATCCCTCCTCCTGTTCCACTCATTTCTCCTCCCCTCTCAAGCTCCTCCTCTGTTTACTGTTTACTTCATTAGGACAGAATTGCTGATGCATTTAGTTCATTTACGTGCCTCTCTGCTAAGAGCAGTGCGTAAGGCCATGAACCCGGGTACTCTCAGTCACTTGCTGGTTCTTTCTTGTTCTTTGCTGATTTCAGCACCATCTCCAAGGTCTGGCTTCTGTCTCATCTCCTGACGATAGCTGGTGGGCTGCATCTCGTTCTTCTTATACAAGGAATCATGTATCCTGCACACGATTCCTTTGTTAAAGAAACTACTTGCCTAAGCATTTGCAAGGTTAGTCTTAATATATCATCCTGCCTTGTGACTAGCAGCTTTGCTGAGAGACAAGTTAAAGCCTTGTTCCAGCTGCAAATTCAATGCTCCTCAATAATTCAAATTATTGTTACCCAAACACTCCCTCACAGAATTAGTATAGGCAGCAAAAGAGAAACCCAGCCCATTCACCAGAGGATGTCCTCTTTCCGTGGGCCTGGCAAGGTAGATGGTGCTTTTGTGTTGCTTAGACAGGGGACTGACCTTTTGCCCGTCATTGGCAATGAGTGACAGAGTGCTTAGGCTACTTACTTTCCAGCCTGGGACTGAGCCAGGAACTGGGACGATGGCACCATAGGGTTTTTTGTGCTTTGTCATTGGAATGAATATGCAGCTAAACTGATTTGCTGGGTGCTTGGTGTTATTGTAGTACTGCTAGTGCCTTTCCATGCTGTAAAAGTCTGAATAAATGTGAAGGGTTAGGCTTTTTTTTTTTTTTAACTTGCTATGGAAACCCGGTAACTGTTTGCACAGGAAGGCCTTGGTTTTTCTTAGGATTCTATCATTTTACTTTGTGTTCCTAACCTTTGCATAAATTTTGGGAATTAATAAAACCACATTATATTACTATTTCTACTATACAAACTAAAATACATGAATTTTAACACAAATAAACAAATACAAGGAGGGGGGGGGAAGGAAATAAAGGATGACAATAAAACGAACAATTCAGTAGCCTTCGTGATGTTTGGCATGGCTGAACTCCGCGAGGTCATGGAGGTGATGCTCTGCATGCATGATGTATCATTTTAATAGCTACTCTTTAGGTATTTCATAGCTTAGCAAGAAGTTTTGCTTTACATTTTATAGTTTAACATAGTTGACATCACAATTACTTATAGTAATAGCATTTTACAGACTTAATAAAACACAATTATTACATATAACACAGTTAAGCTTGATTTCTTCTTGTACTGAGCAAACTTCTTCAGTGATGATTTCATCCTGTAAAATACAAGAACAAAAAGAGAGGGGCTCACCCCTTTTGGTTAGTTTATTTTTAAGCTCATACACTTGTGGCTGGCTTTGCTTGGTTTATAGCTAGACTGGCACTTATTTAAAAATTTCTCCCGCTTGCACTTTGCAGAGGCTGCTTTTACAGCAGTGTTCATTTTTTAAAGTGGAGGGTGTTTCATGCCCCACATTTTTTTCCTTGCACTAAGGGTTTTCCTGTTGGAGTATGCTCCCCCTAGCTCTTGTTAATGAAGGATAACTCACAAGGAGGTGAGAGCTAGGGTTTAAGGCACTCTATATTTGCCTTTGGCTATTCCTTAGGGTGGTTATTATGCAGCATTTTGCAGAGCCTACCCTGCTACAGGTAGTTTTACTACACTAACCACACCTAGGAGGGTGGCAGTTTCAGGTTATACTCAGGATTAAACTCTCTACTCTCCTGCTTTGGTCTTTTTTTACTATTATTTCTTATGGGCACAGGTTCTGACTTATGGACTTTTTGCCCCCCGCCCCCCCTTGGGTCAGTTGAGACTGCAGGCTGTTGGCGCTGGCAGCTCTAACAGTGATTTCTCCTCCTGTTCCCCTTTTCAGGACTGCTAGATTACTTGGGTTTTTTTAAGGTCCTGCAGACTCTTTATTAGATTTTCCTTTTTTCTTTCTCTAGCAACTCTCTAGAATCCTAACACCTTTTCATAGGTTTTACTTAACTTCTAGTTTTCTTTTCTTTAATAAATTTTAACTATATCCTTTCTGGGCTACAGGCTTCATAATTCGTTCTCATCAGTGGCCCCTTCTTGCCTTGCTCTTTGCAAACTAATTTATCTATCAAATCTCTCTCTCTTACAGCTGTACAGCCCAGTAAGCTTTACTTTAGGACTAAGAAAGTTTTCCTGAAAGACCGTGGATGACAAATTATGCACTACACCCAATCCTTTCAGGAAAACTCCTTCACCCCAAAAAGGAAACTTTTAAACTATGCCTCTGCAGAGAAAAACAAAACATGCTTCTGATAAGCCCGCTCCTTTTTTCCTGCTCAGAGTAACTCAAATTAATTCTGGGCACTGATTTCTCTTTACACAGCTGTTAACAATCTTCATCTCTTCTAGGCTCTTCACTGTTCCTGGAGAGGTGTGGGAGAGAACTAAGTTTCTCCTTACTTTTAATCACAGATTCTCTGCTACAGCCTGAACGGATGCCTTGTAACATACCTTGTCTCTTTCTGTGCTACTTTTGCCTTTATTTTCTAATACACATGGGGTTTTAGAATATCTGTCTTACATTTCCTTAGCTGTCTTGATCTCATTGAAACTATACTGCCTATATAACACTTTGTCTTGCTGTAACTTGCACGTTATAAACTCCACAGCAAACATGCACCTGCTTTTGTCTTTTTATGCACAGAAAGCTGCAATTATTTTTTCCCGGGGATTTTAGAGTTAAAGGATTCTGTTCATTCACACAGCCTTGTCAGCTGAGAGATGACTTTTTTTGCTTTTTAGCTTCCTATTGTAAACACAACAGGAGGTTCTTACTTAATCCCAAACGGACTATGGCATATACTCGTGTCCACTACTCTGCCTAACTTGGACACACAAAGTTTCCTTGTTAGCAGTAACAAACAACAACTCCTGCACAACTCTTATAACTTCACTTACTTACTGTACAGCTCTACCTTACTACACATTTTAGCTACCTTTTCGAAAACAAATCACTCTGCATCAATAAATTCTCTGATCAGTCCGGTTACTACTCTTGTGTTCTGGTGAAGTTGCCAATTGCTGGACTGGATTTGAACCTAGCAATTATACCTTTGCTCTGGATGGACACGACCTTCAAACTGACTACAACACCTGCCAGTCAATAATAGGTGAATTTATTGATACAGAGCAAGAACAAAAAAGCAACACTACAGACAATTAAACAATTCTATATCTACTAAGCCCAGGGCTGTCATCAGAGTTAAGGTAAATCCAACCAGAATGCAGGCTTTACTCTGAGGCTCTCTCTCCTAGGTGTCAGCAGTCTGGAGGTGACTGTAATGTAGAAGTTTATCAGCCAGCTACTAAGCTGACACTATTTGCTCTAAGGTTATTCTTTAATACTTCTCTAACTTGTACCCTTTCCCAAGCCTACCCTCTTTAACCAATAAAGTTCTCCACTGTAACAAGAGTGGTGGACCTGCTGGGAGTGGGATTGGGTACGTCTTTGTGTCCCCTTGGTCCGGCTGACTAAGGGAGACTACTTTTTGTGCTTCAGGCTAAAGGAAGCTCTCCAAGTTCTCACAGTGGGTCAAGCACATTCAGGGTCTACAAGGCCTGTGCACCCCAGGGGGCACAGCACCAAAATACAGACCAGAACCCCTGGGTGGTGGCAGCAGCTACCCCAGGCTTGCATGGGTGCTCTTGGAAGGGGTCAGCCAGATGTGAGGCACCCCAGGGGAGGCACTCAGAACTCGTTAGGTGGTTGTATGCAGTGAGGTGGGTAGGTCAGCACAAGAGCACCCCCGACTGGTCCACCACATGAGGGGGGTGACAACGGCTCTTGTTAGGCAACAAAGAAAGGTAGGATGTCTGTGTGAGACCAGGCAATGGGTTCCAGCCAGCTCAGCTCCATAGCGGCTGATGGGAATGGTACACGGGGTCCAGCCAGGGCTGGAGTTGTTTCCTAGTGACACCCTCCTCATGTTCCTTCTGCAGCAAAGTGCCGAGTGCCAGAGCTCTGGGACAGCCGGGCTGACTTCACACCAAAACAGCTGTCTTATAACCCAGGTGAGATGGTGACATGGAGCTGCCCCAAGGGCCATCGGCCCTCACTAGTCAACACCATTTGCATGCAATCGGGGAACTGGAATCCACCGAGTATCCACTGTGTTGGTGAGTTTGAGGCGCCTCAAGTCACAGGCCTCCCAGGGGCTTTGGGATCCTGCATCATGTCCCCTGCTGCACCTGGGCTTCCCTCCCATTGGTCTTTCTCTCTGCACAACCCCTGGGCTTCTGCACTGACATCTCAAGCTCTATTTCCCACAGCCAGGGCCCAGACTCCCTCCAGTGGGTAACACTGGGGCCAAGGACAGTCAGGTGTCTGGGTTGGGAGCTGGTAGAGGGGCTGGGGTGCGTGAGTGAAGAAAGGAACAGGGCATCCCAGGAGTGGCAGAGCAAGGGGAGGGCAGACAGGAGCAGGGGCCTCCCTACGAGGGAGCCACGGGTGCCAGTTATGCCAAACACAGGGGCCTAATTCTGCCCAGGTGGTGGCTGCTGCTGTCTCTTGGGAGCAAATGGATTGGCTGCCCCTGGGAAAGAGGGAAGAGGAGCATTCAGGGCTCTGGGATGAGGGCTTCTGGGGCTGAGGACTGCCATCATGAGGGAGCAGCTGCACCATAGTGTGGGTAGGTTGGAGGGCTTCACAGGCAGTTGAGGACAGACGGGGCCCATGTTGTGACACCTGTGAAGGTGCTCAGTTGTCAGGGTGATGTGTGTGCTGAGGGAGCCCAAAAGGCCTGGTGGGTGCCCTGATGTTGTGTGGATCTTGGGGGGATGTGGGCTATGGGTAAGGGGTACAGTCCAAGTAGGGAGTGAGCATCCTCCCAGCTGAAGGGGAAGCGGATCACTCTGAGCAGGTGGACCAACAGCCCCCTTAGGATGATGGGCACAGGCCCCATGCAGGGGTGACTACCCTCTCCAAGGGAAGGGGTGCAGTTGGCATAGTGCTCACGGGGGAGAGAATCACCATTAGGGAGCTGTGTTGCTAGGACAAGAGCTTCCTTTGCCTACAGGGTTCTGTACAGTTTCTGGGAACTTGCCCCCATCCGTGTCTACAACCTCCATCCAGGCAGAGTTTCCAATTGGCCAGAGGGTTTGGGTGACCTGTCGTCCAGAGCAGTTTGAGGAGGGCTCATTTCCGGTGCAGTGTGTGGACAGAGCCGGGCATCCTGAGTGGGACATAAGCCATGTGAGCTGCATTGGTGAGTGCTGTGCACAGACACAGATGTAGACGGGGCTGGAGGCAGGTTGTGAGCCCAGTCCCCGAGCTCCTCACAGAAGCTGTGAGCAGGGGGAGGCCAGTGACCCTCAAAGAGAGAAGTGTGCTGATGAGGAGCAGACATTCCTG